TTATCCAGTTGCTGAGTGGGAATAGCAAATGTCCTGCCCCTCCTGGCACATGGCACAGCGCCACAGTGGCACTCATGGCAAGACGCGCCAGGTCACCTGTTGCATATTTTTAAGTTTTGATAAGTGTGTCCTGAACGTGTCTGGCACCCAGGTCCTGTGGGAATGCTGGGGAGGCAGGGATCAGCCGTGGCTCACCTCCCCACCACAGGCAAGCTTCCCAGGCAAGTTTTGGCTGCACAGGAGATCTCCTTCCAGGATGTGGAGGCATGGTGGCCGTGAGCCAGGGAGCAAAGGCAGGAGCTCTGCTCGCTGGGGGTTATTTGCCAGCAATTGTCTCAGAGGCTGCTCCAGCATGCAGATAAGGAGGGGCCAGTGACAGCTGGGAGCATCCCATGCTTACTCCTGGGGTAACCTTGCCTCCCTTGTGCTGGGAGGGAGGTAGCAGGTTTGCTTTTGGAGCTGGCTGCTCCTCTGCCCTGCGCCCTCCTGCAGTCGGAGCGAGCACAGGTTGATAGCTCCTTGGGAGACCCTTCCCAGGATGGGAGATTGCATTTGCTCTCCAGGCAAAAAAGCTAGAGCAGCCCCTGTGTCCTTCAGTTTGCTGCATCCAGCCTGACTTGTGCTTCTCGTTGTGCTCGCGGGCTTTTCCCAGCCCCTCCAAGCAGCGTGGCCACTCCAGCAAGCACTCCATGGAGTGCACTGGCCAAGGCAGGGGCACTTGAGAGCTCTGCCCTTGGGTTGCATGCAGGGGATGCAGTTGCTGGCAGGGCGGTGGCACCCAAAGGTTGCCCTCCCGTCATCCGTGCCCTGATGCCAGTGGTGGCTAAACCTGCTTTTGCCCTTTGCTGCCTGCACAATCCCAGGCATGCAGAGAGCCTGTGCCCCTGGTGGGGTTTGGGACAACTCGGCTGGGGACAGGGGTTATAGCGCCCAGCTCAGCAGCTTTCCAGAGGAAATAGCCCTTCTGTACCAAAGAGGGTTTATGGAGCAGCTGTACCTGCTTCTGACTGATGCCCCTCTGGGATATGAGAGCTCATGGGCACCTTGGGGCAGAATGAGCTGCGCCAGAGGTGCTGTGGTCCACCCTGGTGTGGAGCAAGAGGTGCGGAGTGGGATGAAGCTCGCCTCCCTCTGCCAGGAACTCTGTAAAAACCCCAGTGCAGGTCAGCGAGTGCAAAAGTGCTGCTTTGATGTCAGAATTCAGTTTTCTTATTTTATAAGCCTTGCCCATGTTGGCTTTCTTGTGTTTCCCCCTGCTAGCAGGAAGGCAGGCAGGAGCAGTGGGTCTGGTGACCTCTGCATTAAGCAGCTGACCCTGCCCAGCATGCAGCACCTCTTGATGTCTTGTGGCAGGGGAAGGGGCTTTATGTGGAATTTCTGTGTGTCGCTTGGAGATTTTTTGTGTGTATCGCCTTTTTTTCTCAGTCTTTAAGTAAAAACGCATCTTTGGCAGCTGGGTGCATGAGGGGGTTGCCCAGGCAGGTCCGGCTGCAGAGTGAAAGGCTGGAGAGTCAGAAAATGCCAAGCTGCAGCTGCATAACCCCAGCCCCATGTGCATCTGCACTGAGAGTCGCCTCTCCCCTTGCACGGTGAGGGGCTGACTCTCAAACGCAGCCCGCAGTGCATTTCTTAGCAGTGTGTTGTTCCCTCTACCCCTGTGCGATGCAGCTCTGCAGGCCAGGCAGCAGCCTGCGCAATCCCCCACACTGCTGGGGCTCTGCTCTGCAGCAGGCGCTTGCCTCCGCTGCTGAGCTGCTGTGCTCCAGTCACAAAAAAAAAAAAAACCCAAACCACATCTAAACCTCTGGGTTGTGGAGAGGCTTTCTACGCAAGTCTTACAGCAGAGATGAGACTGGTCCCCTCTCACGAGGACATGGGGATGTAACTGCAGGGTGCACCCAGAGGACAAAATCAAGGGTACTGGGTGAGAACTGCTGGGGTGGGCTGTGGCAGTGCCCGCAGCTTTCCTGGTGCCACGCTGCTGTGGTTGCTCACCGCCCGGCAAACCTTCCCTGTCGGCCCTGGATAAGCAGGGCCGATGCCTCC